AAACGTACAGCTAACGTAAAACAGCAAAAAATCCCTACATCCCCAACCTGTAATGTGCTTTCAACCAATTCAACTGCCCCATTTTCTAGGGAAGTATATACGCGCGCTGAAACGGCAAATTTTCTCCCGCGCCGCTCCCACTCATCACATGCAACTTCTTACAACCGAAGCAAGTACGACCCCCCCTCTACAAACTCATCAAAATACGACCCCCCCGTTGCTACTTGTAGCAACATAGGGTTGACCCTGTCCCCAGGTTATGGATCAAATCCAACCCCATAAGGGTGCGTCCTCAGGCAATAACGGGGTCACACCAACACTACAGGGTTCACCGACTTTAACCCGCACGGAACTGCAAGGCAAACACATAAGGTTGTTCACGGGCTCCAACCAACGCAAGGGTCTCGCGCAGAAAATTTGGTCAGAGACCGAGGCCGCTCTTTTTTGTTTTCATGCTCTCTCTTCTTTGTCTCTTTTCTCTCTCCTTGGCGCTAATTGTAGGTTGTCTCGCTGTTAATCTCTCATACTCTCCCGTGTTCTAATTAAAACAGCCAATATTCTCAATTTTCCCGGCGGCTTCTTTCTCTTTTTTTCTTCATTCTTTCTCCACTAAGCATCTCCTCCTTTCGTTTTCCTGCGAAATGACTGGTAACTCGATAAAGGAGTGGCCTTATCTTCGTTATTAGTAAGACTTTCTTTTATGTGAGACAGATGAGTACGAGAAAGCCAAGAACTAGGAATTTACTTCAAGGAGAAAATCTGAATCCGGACGAAACGGTGCCCTGGTACCATAACTTGTAGCGCACTTGCCCGGCAAGCAAGGGGTGCAGGTTCGGGCGAATTTTTGCTAATAGTCAAGTATTGTTGTGAAACCAGAAGCTAGGGATTTTCTTCGGCTCGACGTACATGGCTCAAGGGTCGAATCGCGATCGCGCTCCGCGCAAGCTAACCATCTTGCCTGCTTGCGGGGTTGGACAATGGGTTATAAGCTCATCTGGTAGTTTGTTCGCGCGCAAGCCGCTACAAGGAAGTGATCCAAATTACATTGAAAATTCTCCTAAGATCCGTCAAGGAAGCTAAGTGCGTGGCGTATCTAGAAAAAAGATTGATCACACCTAATAATCTATTCTCTTATAGTGCCACACATAGGCAGCCCAAGGGCTCGGCTAGAGGATTAGGATCTGGTAAATGAACTTGGACTCATTCAGTCTACCTCAGGGCTTAAATTATTCGAAAAACTGAAATACAAGTAAATATCGAACCTCGCCAGCCTAGACATTTTCAAGGAGCTTGGATTTTAAACTGGAAGTCATTCCTGCAAGAAATGTCGCCGGATCATGTGCTTAGCGACAGAACAATTCCAGGTATGTTTCTAGTTGACGCGTGCCAATTTCATTCTTTATGGAATAGGAATCCGGTTCAGCTAAGCTCCATAAGGCAAACTCCGTCGCATTAACCCACAGCCTATTCGCCTTAATTAAATCTGTAGATACTTTTCTGCTTTTCTGTCTGTGCTCCACCTTTTTCCTCAAGGTATAGAGCTGGATAAAGCAAGTGCATCTCAATGGGGTGCGCTACGCATTAGCCTCTAGCAACCCAAGTCAAGGGGTAATTTAAAGGTGTGCTCGATTCATATTCGCCGCTAAGCAGGGATCACCGTCACGTTGGACAATTTCAGACATTTACGGCCTCTCATTGGGGGCCTCGACACGAAACCCCCAGGGCCAATCTTGACGACCATCCGCCATTCACCTCGCCCCTCCGCCTGCGATTCTATAGTAGGTTCTGAGCTTCAGGCGAGCACAAGTCCCCAACTCCCGCCCTTGTTCTTCCAAAATGTTTTTTTTTTTTTGGTTTTAAACGTCGAAGGGGGGGTTCACACTGGCACACTAAACCCAAAGCCCAGGCAACAAGACAGCCACTATCCGCCTCCATAAAAAAGCATCTACTCTACGATTAACGTACCTTGCGAAATACGGCCCCCCCTTTTTTCACCCCCAAATACGACCCGCACCCTCTCGTTCGGGACTTTGTCACGGGACGTGTTGACCTGGATTTCGCCGTAGCCCCAGCTTATTGTGCGATCGGTGAGTTCGAGCGGAGTACTTGTGGGCACTTGCCCGTAAGGGAGAGCGTGCAAGTTCGAAAGTCTGGGTCTGGGCAAAGTCGTTTTGTTCAGTAAACCAGCATATAACTTGCCAGAAGCTACGCGTTGCAAATCAACAATGAGAATCAGCACAGTCACCTTTCTTTTCGAGCAGCTTTTCTCCATATTTTTCTCGTTCATCGTTCGCGAAATACGCCTGACTCCATCGATTCGTAAATCATCATCATGAGAATCCCCCCCCCAACTATTGGAGTGGAATGGAAGAAAAATGGGATACTTCAGCAAACTTGCCGGAAACTGAAATAAATGTTCTACTTGTCCTGATATTCTAATTCCCACCGTAGAAATGTTACAAATGTTAGCGACGAGAAGGCCTCCATTTGTTTTAAGAGATGTCGTCTTGATGAAAGCTCTAGACCTCCTCCTCCTATGACGGTGACATATTTGCTTTTCCACTGCATCCTAATCCATCGCGTTAAGCTTTTGTCCTTCTGCCCCATTCTCCAAATTAAGGAGTGTGAGCCAATCCCTTCCTACGAAGCGTCACCTAGTACTTACCGCGCCCACCACGTACCCCGCCCATTGTCTCCGCCCACGCGTCTGTGAAGTGTCCACAGGGTGTGGGTTTTTAGATAGTTTACTTTTTTTGATTTCTAAATTTTCGTGCATGAGAATATTTGCACATACACCTTAGAAATCGCAAATTCGCATTAACGCAGAGAAGGAGGGAAAAATATTCTTGTGCACATGCATTCAAGTATTGTCAAGTTTTCATTTATTTTTCAATCGATTTAAGTTAATCTCGGCCGAAGATCGCCCACGTTAATTTTGTGAGCTTCATGACTTACAATTAGATGCCACAAAATAACTTCATAAGGTATGGACCTGTTAGCACAATACAGAGCAAACGGGCTTAAAGATCCAAGTAGGGGTGAAAAGGGGCCGTCAAGAAGAGTCTCACTGAAGGGAGAACCACGATATATCAGGGAAAGAAAGACGACGTTCAAAAAGGGCAGATACCCTCCGACAGAGCAGGACCAGCACAACTATTTTCTTCTCGTTCCTATTGTGAATGATTGGTTCCAAGCCAGAGATTTATGGGTGAGATGGAATCATGATTTTTCCGTAGACAATTCCTTCTGCGAAACCCTGCGCTCTAGCAAAATTTCGTTCTTATGGTTAGAAGTTTTCGTCGCTTATTCTTTTTTTAACAGCATTATGGGGCTCCAAGCTATCATAAACCTCAGTGAAGCGGGATAAGTTGCATTTTTCATAAAGAACCTATTGGATTCAAACTCAATCCTCATGAACAATCGCCCAATTTCAGTAAACCCCATCCAAGTTCCACAATCGACCCCACTTGGGATCTTTTCAGCCGACAGCTGAATGTGCTGAACCCTGCTAGGGAAAGGATAGCCGAAGCCTTTGAAGAGGAGAGGGAGCAAGGGGCTCAGGACTTCTGAATTTCGAACGACTGAATTTTCTGCTCTTTTCAAGAAAGAATCATGCTTTAGGTGGACCAAAAAGGCCAGCAACAACCCATGTAGGGAAGCCCGTGTAGGAATCCTTCAAGCTTTCCCAGGGGTCATGCCCACGGCGGCGAGAATAGAACCTGAAAATCAAGTTTCTTGTAAGACGACAGTGTTACCATTACATCACACGGACGCGCATCATTCTCTCATCCCATTAGCTTCTCGGTTACTCTCTTACCACGGTAAACCCGCTACGATTAGCATGGGTGACGCTAAAACGTGGGCTAGAAAAGCGGAGTTTTCTCCGCTTTCATCTGGTACTCATTTCAGATAGGAATTCCTCATTTTTCCTTTCGTCTACATATTGATCATCGCAATTATTGTAATTGTAACCTTCATTTCTGCCTGGTCAGCTTTCTTTTGTTAGCGAATTATTTTTTCGATTGTTCTTTCTTCACTTCCCGAATATCCACCAGGGTCTACCGTCACCAATTTCCGTGGACCAATTTCGAAAATTTTACGACCCCCTCCCCCTTTTAGGGGCCTCGATACGACCCCCTCCATCGCCATCATGGGGCGACTCTATAGTATTTGATTCTGAGACCAGTCAACACAGCCCAACTCCGCCCACTTTTTCCTCCAAAATGTCGAGCGGAGGGTCCGTTCCATGAAAAATCATCCCTTCTCTTACTGTAACATCAACGCTACCTCGCGAAATACGACCCCCTCTTTTCCACCCCCCCATTATGACCCCCACCCCCTCGTTGGACTTTGTCCAACGGACGGGTTGACCCTGTTATAGCACTCCGTTTGAATTCTGGTTCATCTTATTATATGTGGTACATTATATTTGTGAGAGTTAATCACACGCCCGGCAACCTAGGCTGCACTCATTTAGCCCTGCTATGAATAAGACAATCAGACACTTATCCAAAAATACTGGAGTCCTGGTGGGCTGCGTTTCGAGGAAGCTTCACATCCCCCACCCCCCGCTTGCCACGGAGTCTTTTACTACGCCATCTCTTAAGGTCAATCTACCGCTCGAGAAACGTGTCGAACAACGGGGCATCGGCTGATACTGCTCACTCTATGCCAATTTGTCCACAAATTCTCCGTAACATACACTGCGACCCCTTCCCCCTCAAAACCTACTCCTCACTCAAACCCCTCCCAAGAGGCCACTACGATCCCTCTGGAGGAATCTCGACCATGCCTTACCTAGACGGAGCTTATGCGTTCTGTTCCCGAAAATGGTCATGTACATATCTGGGCCGAAAAAAGATTCATATTACCACCATAAGCTCAATAGTTAAAAGAAGTACGCCTCATCTCTCCTCATGTTCCTCATGTACGGAATTGACTTTTGTGGACGAATTTTCGCTAAACGGCAATGTTACCACATTTAGGGTATTGCGACCAGAATGCGATTATTTCTCGTTATTTTTCTTATATTCGGTCGCTGCTCAACGAATGAAATCTCTCGTCGGGCCATATTTGACTGTAATCGCATAGATGTCACCTTTTGCTGTACATCAAGGGTACGAAGCCTTTGCGCTGAACAATGCAAAGATGTGCAATGTGGTGGCCCTGGTGAGAATTTAGCTATATTCCACGACATATGCCTTCAAAAACTTGTATAAGATTTACTTTAAAACTTTTTTCTTTTTGATTTAAGATTTACTTTTTGGTGATTTTACTCAGAAGTTTTAAGCACCAAGCTTTTTTTCAGAGACAGAAGTTGGAAATGGAAATACTTTCAGAGGCAATGGTAGACAAGGTACGTAAAAACTTCTTTTTCCAGAACTAGTACTTAGAAAAAACCTCTTGGGCTTATATTTATCTATTCTATAAAAACAAAAGGATTAAACTTATTTATAAATAGAGGAAGTTCCGAAGAACTGAATGGGGAAGTGCAAGCAAAAATTGGATACGTCTCCAAGTCACGAGTTGGGATCAGGTCCCAAGAGCCAGTCCCTTCTGGAGTGAAGAAGGGGTCTGATAAGGGCAGGAGACACGTAGCGAAATATTGTTACGTGTCAAGCACGAAGACGCGGATCGGTCCAGCCAGTCTCTTTTGGAAGCGAATGAGTGGTCTATAAGGGCAGGAGACACGTAGCTGTCGCGAGTCAAAAGTGTGAGGCAACGGCGATAAGCATGGTGAATAATGGTCAAGGAAATCCTCGACGATGGTTCTGTATTGTGTGCCGAGAGTGACCGTAAGTGCGGAGATCACAGACGCTCGCCGCGTGGGCGAGAGTAGAATGGCGCGCGTGGGAGAGCGATACCGAACAATCCTCGACGAATATCTCGACCATTTTCGCCTCCTAACACGCTAAGGGCCTTGCCTTACGTGCTCGGCCATTGCGTCAGCCTTATGTACGATACCCACGCGGCATTCGTGGTCTCTGCGTCCTCTCGCGTACGACGTACTATCTCGCGTTTTCCCTCTCTCTCGCAGCACTGTGCCTTTCCGTCAATTCACGGCTGGCTTCGTAAGGGAATTTCAGTGGTTTCTAATGGTGCTTTTTGCTTTTTCTTCCCGATAAAATCCTCATCACACTCCTGCCTAATCATCAGCAAAATAACGCATCAATTCAATCCCGACTCGTGCCTTCAAACAACGGAAATAAATTTGTCCACTGATCTCTGGTTCAAACTAACCAACAAGCTTTCAAAAATGCTTTCTAATTACCCGACGCCGAGGGAGGTAACTGAATGATTCTACTATTGTAAAGCCACGATTTATAATATTTTCAAAATCACAAAATCATAGAAAAATTGCTGCTTTCATATAATTATGATGCCTCAACCTACTAGTAATAACCGAAGATAAGAGAGACGACCTGGGTATTTGGTCTGACCCGGAAACGAATCGTAAGGCATGCCTCTACCCATTTTTTCCGGTTCCTGAGTGTACCAACCTCTTGAACCTCTTGAAGGTAGTACAGTTATGGTGTGATGGATAAGCCTGGAGGATGTATGTCCACGCTCGCAGCCTGTTTGGCCGACAGCGATTTTTCTATCACGGTACACCACGTCGTCGATTTTTTCCAGCAAATATGCTTCTCCATTCTTCATCGGAAACCCGTTCATCAGTGCCGTTAACTGTGCAAATACATGTACGCATGTGTCTCTATGTATTCAGCATTACCTGAAGATTAAACTGGAGAGGCTAGGTCAAGTTTGGATGGGTGCCGCATGGGCCATGAAGGACGAAATACACATAAAGTGAACGAAGTGCAATGTGATGGTAGCCTTGGAAGGCAAACCCCGGGATTAGCCCGACTAGTAGGAGGGATACCGCGAGGGAAATTGTGGGTCCGTACCTCATAGATCACTCCAGCTTCGTCGCAAAATTGCGCGATTAGGGCGCTAATCCTTACGAACCTGCAACCATCGACCCTCGTTGCAACGCTTCCCACCCACCGCATTGATATAGAGATCAGCGTGCTCTCTCGAACGGCGTGCTCTCTCGCGTGTTTTGTCTTCTTTGATCGCTCGCCATCGTACCACATCCGACGTTACTGTAGGTTAAGGCCATATTTGCTTTTAGC